CCAACCTACTAGCGATGGCCTCCAACCTACTAGCGATGGCCTCCAACATATTAGCGATGGCCTCCAACCTACTAGCGATGGCCTCCATAAATGCCTTCAGGGGCGCATAGGTTCTCCAAAGCTTGTGATCGCGCCGCCTCTACCAATTTCTGAGTAATCGACTAGCTTGGCATCAACATGTCTATGCAGTTGCTGGGGTGGTTGAGCCAAGAACACATGTGCATAGCCGCATTGCATACTGCACCCTTGTCTGAAGAAACAAGCCTGTGGTAGATGATGTCTGATGTGGACCCCAAACCCCCAACCCCCCCACACACTGTCACAAATGATGTCAAAAGTACTCATATGGCAAGCATTGGGCAACAACACGCATCCATGATTATCCAATGTAAATCCATGCCCACTGTAGATATCACGGACTGTGCTTTGTGGCTTATTTCCTGGCCAGGCCCGCCAAAATACAGTCAGCCAAGGGTTCCCTCTCAATCCTACGTTGTTGTTTCTTTGAAGCTCCTTCTGAGATCAAAGGCCGCCTCATACGCCGCCGCGCATGCCCAGTTTCTCCCCTCCAAGCCATGCATCATCCTTGTTCTTTTGAAACATGTCCGAGGAGGACTGCAGCACCCGATCAGCAATGTAGCGTAGCCTGGTCTGTGACCTCAGGGTAGGATTGATCCCATACGACTAATAATGACCAACAAACCCCGACTTCCAAGACCCTCCGGGACTCCGTACACACATATATATATATAATATGTATATATATATATACAACTATATATATATATATCCGTACCAGAAGAATCCAATGCAAAACACATCCCAAGCACATCCTGAACGTCTCCACCAACTCGTACCCAAGCGGCTGCTTGAAAAGGTCTTGACTTGCCTGGCTGCGCGCGAAGAATTCGGTGAAGATGTCCTTGCGGAAGCGGTCCAGCTGCCTGAGTGTCGATGCAGCTATGGACATACCAAATCCGCTGGACTGCAAGCAATGACTGTTCCACATGGTCATAGCCATCTTCTGCAGATGCGTTTCCAGATCTGCCCATGATGTAATATTGTTCAGTGCAAGGATGCTGTCTGTGTTCATCTATATAATATCATCTAATATCGTCCACGAAGTCCCAGGTGAAAATCAAAAGCAACATCAGCATCACCAGCTACCTGCGACCTCGGCGATTTTCCCAGCAAGCTGCTCCTCTTGCAGCGAGGAGAACATGCGGATATTGTACGGCTTAAAGGCCCGCACCTGCGAAGAAGGAACCGCCATGAAATCAAAGGAGGGCAGTGATTGCCGCAGTTTGCGACGAACATCGCTTCTACAAATCACCTGCTGCGGAACCAGTGATCGGCGCTCTTCATCAATGGGGGCAACATCAAGAGCTGGTTCTCGCTCTTCGATCTATTAATGGGGTCCCTGTGCACTAGGAGAGCACACCCCTCTTTACGCTTTGAAAAAGCATTTTGCTGGAACATGGCCTTCAAAAGGAACACCAAAGCAGCTTCACTTGCCCTACCCTACTTGTAATCTTCCACCACTCTCCGAAACAGGTCGAAGCCTGCTGGGTTGGACACCCCTCTTTTTCCCTGGGTGTCTCTTGGCATTCCATCTCATTGTCAGGAACATATATCAACGACACTTCCTTGATCTCTGCTTTGTTCACACGTCGCACAGGTCGCTTCCATCTGCCTTCATGGTGGACTCATTCAAGTTCCGTGCCACAGTTGTCCACAACCACTCCCAGGATGTCTCATGCAAGGTGCTCCATTGCTTCGGAAGCCTTGTTGGCACCGTGGCAAGGCTGCAGCCGGGGGCAGGCATTGGTACATCACACCCACTAGTCAGGACTATACCCTCATCGTCCCCAAGCATGAGTAGAAGACCCAGTTCCCTGGATCATCTCAACGCAAACAATGTTCTGAATTTCAGATTCTGAATAAAGGCAATACACATGGCTTCTGAGTCGTTGAAGAATATGATTCCTTCACGCCCAAGAGGCAAGGATCGCAATGCTGCCAACATCACCGGCTTGAACTTGTCAAAGTCGATCGACTGAGAGAAGCGAAGCTCTTCAAGCGAGACTGTGATCGACGTCTGGCTGATTAGGGGGCCATGTCATGCGGGGAACGATGAACCCGAGGATAGCAACGACTAAAGTGACTAGAGTCAATTTGGAGACATGGCTAGGGTTGTGAGGGATGGATGAACAACCTGAATGTCCTCGCTAAGAGAAAGGTCACGTGCTCCGGTTTTCCATGGCAACACCTTTTTGTTCGAAGCACTGGTCAGTGAGTGGTTGACCCAAGTTCAATAGCAAATCTAATGAACACCCCGGGTCGTTGGTGAAATCACAGACTTCACCAAGCGTTCCAAATGATCGGCACGTCGAATGACTGTGTTGAAAGGCCATGAGGCCAAAGCAATCCCAAAGCAACAAACAAATGCCGCAGCATGCGCCAACATAGCTCCCAGTACCCAGCGCTCTTGAATTTTCTTAGCGTCTTGTTGGAACAACAAAGGAAAACACAATTCAGTCCTCGATTCTACCCATCTTCAAGTTCGGTACTCATTTCTCGACAGTGAATTCTTGGGGATGGCCTGGCCGAATGAATAGCAGTGTCACATTAGTGTCACCATATCAGAAATTGGTCATCTTTGGGCTTCTCCGATTTGCAAAGAGTTAATGGAGCCTGTCCCAATTCACCGCAGCTCTGGACACCCCCAGGGCCAAAGCACGTTGGACTTGGTAATCAAGTTGATCGCCAATAAGTCGCACTCCTGGCATACATATATATATATAGAGAGAGAGAGAGGACAAGCTTTTGCCGTACTATCGAGATAAATAGAGATCACCACTTCAGTGAATAAAGCAAGGAGATACAGCACAGCTACAAAGCGTGCAGTTCCCCAGGCATGTGTCACATTTACAGCTGGAGGGTTTGGCACCTTTGCAAGCGGGTAGCGCGCCTTTTCCAGCCTAAAAGGGGCTTCAGTAAGCGGTTGTATGTACGCTGTACATGTTGGATATATTTCCTTGCACCCCACTTGAAAGACGGGTGCGTCACTTGTCTTTCACAAGGACCTTCAACTGTCAGTAGCCCAGGGGATGCTAGGCATTCCATAGCCTGGGCAGCACTTGCAGCTCCTTAGCTGCTGGTAAGCTCTGCTGCGTTGTTGCAGCCTGGGGCAGGTGGAATCTACATGAAACACTTCTCTGCCCTCTAAGATGTAAACTTCCGAAAAGCGCCCAGTGTTGCGTTCACACTGGATGGCCACATCTTTGCTCTCGGGCCGCGCCGGCTTGAAGCTCAAGCCCCCACTCAAGGCAAGGTGCCTTCCCACCATCCGGAAGCACCACCACAATGCCGTGCCCTGCATGATCAGCAAAATGCCGAAGGCCACAGCAAGGTCCGTGAAGATCCAATCGAACCCCCACTTCACTCCATCTCCTGCATTGGGCTCCTCCGTCTTCATTCCCTCTGCGCTCTGCAGAAGGGTCAGTAAGGCTACCATCAAAGCCTGCTTGCTGAAACCACTGAGGGCAATGGAGTTGATGCTCTCAGTGTACTTCTTGGTCTCCTGCTCGTAGGCCGTCTCCTCCTTCAATCCGATGCCCAGCTTCAGCCTTAGCACATTGAACCTTTTCACTGCCAAAGCCTTCGTGCCGAAGTCCGCCGTGTTGTCTTGGCTTGGCACTGCATGCAAGCTGAATAGCTTTCGATGCAAAGCATCCTGCACCCACAATGACTTCACCTCCAGGTGTCGGATCCTTCCAACTCCCTGGCGCTGGAACACGCCACGAGCTGCGCTGCTGTCAAGGTAGACCTCCATCTGGAGCGGGAAGCCGATGAAAGCAAACACTTCCTTCATGAACAATCCCTCACTGCAGGCGGCCACACCACCGTCCACGCACCGAACCATTACTCCGACCGCCCCTCCTTAGACGTGCCCGTTGTACGCCCCTCCAAAGACCGCCCCTCCTCGTCGTTTTCGGCTGCGTTTCACATCTGCGAGGCCCTTGGCTTCTCTTCTTGAGGCCGCTCGAGACCCGCTTCGCGAGATTCGGCCCAGCGGGTACTCCGGCGGCAGGAGAGGAGAAAAGCGAAGACGCAGAAGAGTCTTCCGAAGAAGAGGCCAAAAGAATCCATGAAACAGAGTCTTCCTTGAGGACTTCTTTCTTCTACCCGAAGGAACTTGGAATACCTTTTTGCTATGGTCGAGAAATGGGACACTCCCGGTTCCAGGTTCAACCCCCTTTGTAGGAACTCTAGCTAGTATATATCTATACAATAAATTTCAAATATACATATAACTATATATATATATATATACATGTATAGTTTTCATGTATAATTTGCACAATGATATTAATGATATGGTAATATAATGATATGCCTGGAACCCATTGCTCCTGGCGTAGCTGAACAGCAAACAGCCGCCAATCTCGAACATTGCACAGGCACAGCTCTTCCTGGTCTTCTTGCAGTTAGCCCAATCAGTGTCTGAATGCACCTTCAGGATCTCAATCTCACCATTCTTGGGCAGCCACACGCCATAGTCCTTTGTGCCTTGTAGGTAGCGTGCCAAACGATGCAACTTGTGTAGGCTTCCGTCCGTAGGCTCCTTCATGTCCTCGGTCAGCTCACGGACTGCGAACTGCACATCCGTCCTAGAGGTACAGGGCGATGCCAACTCCTGCCCTGTAGATTCTCAAGCTCTCCCCACTCAACTTGTTGCCCTCCTTGACCTCCGAGCACAGGTAGGGTGTTGGAGCTGGGTTGCACTCTCCAAACCCAACATCTTCAGCAAGTCGCTGATGTACTTGCCACGAGGCGTGAGAAAGATGCCACCATCCATGACCTCACGGGTCCTCTTGAGGTGCGTCCACTTTTCTCCCACGCGGTTCTCATGGATCTGGCTCTTCATCTTGATCTTCTCGCGCAGCTTCTTCTCCAATTCCAGCAAAGCTGCCTTTGGTCCGGTGGCATAGAAGTCATCCATATGCACTTCCATCAACACGCCACTGGCCGGGTTGTAGAACATCCAAGGTGCTGCTGGGTTCCTCTTGAAGTCCACCTCCTTGAGATGCCCAGCTGCCCATTCCACAAAGGCCTGGCCAGCAATGCGCCTGCCATACCACTCAGTGTTGAGCTTCCAGACCACACGATCAGGTAGATCGACTCCGCTGTCTGCCATCTTCTTCAACCACTCCTTGGGAGGCTTCATGTAGGCTTCTTCTGCAATTGGTACTTGCCAGAATGCATTCTCCGCATCAGCTGTCAAGAAGCTGTAACCCATCTTGATGCCCGCAATGTCAATGACCCTTGACGTTGAGGTACTGGATGCCACCGCAAACACGTCCGTGCGCGGGTCTCCCCGCTTGAACTCTCTCACACAGTACCTGCACCTCACCGAGCCATCTGGCTTCCGGGTTCTGACCCAGACGGCATCCAAAATCTTCATGCCATCCTTCTGCTCCACAGGGTCGTAGGTCTGGTACTTGTCCATCTTGCGGAATTCTTCTGCATCACCTTCATCCATCTCTTCCTTGCTCAAAGGCTTGCTCTCCTCATTGTCCGAGTCCTCATAGGCCTGGTCCACGTCATCCTCGCACACGATGGTGTCTTCTGTTGGTGAATACAGTGCACCCACAAAGATCCCAGCCACGCGAGCCGTCTTGGCATCTGGAGTCATCTTGCCAGATTCTCCTGCCCATGCTCGTCTTGCAGACATGCCCAAATCCATAGGTGCTGCCTCACGACCGCCCACATCTGCCGTAGGTCTTGATGCCGACGAAGGACCTGATTGCACAGGAAAGTCTCCCTCGTCCTCCTCTTGGGTGACCTCCCCACTGGGCTCCAGCCTGGGGCTCTTGTTGGCCGTCTCTTCGGTCGGGATCAGGTTTGGCGACTCAAACAAGGCAATGTCAGCCTTCCTCTTTGGCCTGCCGATGGTCGTGCCCATGTCCCATGGCACTCCAATCATCTTCTCCATCAGCTCTCTGTTGTAGCGCCTGCTGCTGTCAGCCAATCTGCGCACACTCCTGGCCGTCACTGTCCCTTCCTCTGTTCCCAGCAAGTATTCATTACTGGTCACACTTCTCCCAAGAAAGATGCCCTGACGCCATGCTATCTCCCCCTTGGGCACCAGTGCCCTGTTATGGGATCTCCTGGCCTTACTCATGGGGATCTTGAAGAGCACAGTCTCACCAAAGGGCACCAGCTGCGAAGTGTATGCCGTGTCGAAGGCATCCTGGTATGCTGTCCTTTGATTGCCCTTGACGCTGAATCTGCTCCTGATGAATGAGCACCACCTCACCAGCCATGGCCACAGGTTGTGTGAGGTGTGGAGCGTGATGATAGCTCGCCTCCGTCTGGTACCTGAGGGTGAGGACATCACCACGGAGCAACTTCTGAAATGCTCCCATGGTTCCAAGGCTCTGAGATGAGTACCTTGGCATTTCCTCGAACTGGACCTTGAGTCCTTCAGCTCCTGGGGCTTTCCCTTCTCGCAAGGCACCAGCTATCTTGGCGACGATGTTCTTGATCACGGGCTCATTGTCGCTTCTGAGTTTCACCTGCATGTAGCCCAGCTGTGCTATGAAGGATGTCACCGTCTTGATCACATAGGGCGTCTCCAGGTTCTTGCCAGGGATGGACATTGCTAGGGCCATCCCGGTGCCACTGTTCACGATGGAGAGGATTGTATCTGAGCTCTCCTCGAACCGCTCTGCAATGGATGTGTCTGTCTTGAGGAAACTGTAATCCAGCTCGAAGTGATTCTCGGCCAACTTCTGCTCCATTGTTCTGCGTCGATGCGGATCATCCATTGCATGGCCTCTGGTGCAAAACTCACACCAAGGTGCTGGCGGCAGATGTGTGATCAGGTGCCGCTCCACTTCCTCCGTGTCCGGCTTTTGGGGTACTGGCACATAGGAGACGTCAGGTTCCCTGCCCTCACGCAAGGCTTGCTGTCGGGCAGAGTTTCTCTCGACATAGTCACGTGCCCGTGCCCTCCTGATCGACAAGGCTCTCCCTGCAATCTGCAACCTCTTCCACAGGGTGTGCTTGTCACCATAGATGGGCTCTTTGAGCTCTCGAAGTCTGGCTCTCATATCCTCCACCTTGCTCCATCCGTGCAGTCGTGGTCGATCAGCTCGAGCATGAGCCTCATCCTCTGCAAACTCAGCTGGGATGGGGACCATCTCAATCCCTTCTCCCTCATCTTCAACGCCGGCATACTCCCACTCGTACTCTTCTCCTTGCCCAGCCACAGGTGCCACCACACCAGTGCTCAGCTCGATGTCCATGGGGATCGTCTCATCGTCCCGCTTGAAGTCCAGCTGGGGGTGTGTGAGGAAAGGCTTCATGGGATTCCTCATATCTGCTGCAAAGCCATTCCTGCTCATCTTCCCAGCACTCAGGACATCCTTACTGGCCTGCTCGCTGACCTTGAACTCAGTGACCGCATTCAGGAACTTGTGGTCCTCGCCGATGATCTTGTAGTTCACCTTCTTCTTGCCAAGTCTCCCAAGGCACTGTCCTGAGATGCCCATCAACTTCACCTCACTCTCCTCGATGTGGAAGTCGCCACGAAAGCTCGGTCGGCACAGATGCTCATCACTGCCTGAATCCCATAGGAGGTACTTGATCTTCTGGTCAGGCGACTGTGATACCAGCAAATGATGGCTGCTTGCTTCGGTGGATCATCATCACCCACATCTCGTCTGAGTACTCGTCCTCGATCTCATACACATCCTCAGCGTCTGCCCAGTTCACACGCTCACCATCGCCGGGCAGCCAGTAGTACACTGCATTTGTGCTTTGTCCACCGACGGGGGACGCAGATCCAGTTGCCGAAGACGATGTCGCTGTGATGGCATTGGCGCTGCCACCTTTTCCTTTTCCCTCACGCTTGGCCTTCTCTTTGGCCAGCAAGCGGCAATCCGCTTTCTTGTGCCCCCATTTTCCACAGTAGGAGCACTCGCCGTTGAACTTCTTTGGAGGAGGTGGCTTCCCCTTCTTGTCAAACTTGCCACCCTTGTTGACTCCTTTCTCATTCTTTTACTTGCCGCCCTTCTTCCCCTTGTCAAAGGACACTGCACCAACATCCATGGGTGCTGCTCCACCATCGTCCTTGCCCAACTCGCCCTTGGCGTTGTAGTATTGCCCTGCTTGAAGGAAATCTCGCACAAACTTCTTGGCTCGCTCATAGTTTGTCCCAACTTGAGCTCCAGTGGTCCTCAGGGCTGACCTCAGTGACATGGGCGCATGCTTCATGCCTCATCTTTGTGGAGTCCTCCTTGGCCTGGATCTCATAGCGCCTAGTCAGCACTTCCCAACTCTCCAGGGACTCCAGGAAGTCATTCTCCTTGACGGTCTCCCAGGCCGGGGCGATGATGCTCATCAGCATGGCTGTATGCCTCCCTCCAACATCAGGCTCATAGGCCTCACAGAGGGCTTTCCAAGCCTGGAAGCCATTGCCGTTCTCCACGTTCATCAACACCTGTAGGGCCCTGCCATCAACACTCTGGGTGAGGAGGTTGAACAGGATGATGGCCTTTTCCTGGGCGTGCTGCCCCATGTCACTCAGGATCAGGTCGCTGTACCGGTTGGCGTTCTCTGCAGCTTGGATGAGGGCCTGATAGCTCGTGTCCAGCAAGTTGAGGTACCCTCTTGCCACGAAGACCCAAGCTGCCCATTCTTCCTCTTTACCTGAGGAGCTCTTCAACTTGCCAATGGCTCGAGCGTCGATGAGACCACTGGCGCCGACCTGCTGAGCCGGAAGGGCTGGCTGAGCTTGCTGCTGCTGCTGAGCTTGTTGAGGTAGAAGACCTGCTTCAGCTGCCGCTGCCAGGGAATCTCCGAGCGAGAAAGCACCTGGCGGGGTGAGCGGCGCAGCATTCGAAGCCATGAGCGCTGCTTGGCACCTCCCTTCGAGGAGGATTTACCCCGTGCCCACACCGCCAAGCGGATTTACAGGGTGTCCTCCACGCAGGCGCCCACGCGCGGGTCTTACCCTGTCTAACAGGGGACCCGGAGCAGGAGCTCACCCTGCTCCGCTACCATGCAAGCGGGTAGCGCGCCTTTTCCAGCCTAAAAGGGGCTTCAGTAAGCGGTTGTATGTATGCTGTACATGTTGGATATATTTCCTTGCACTTCCCAAACCATATCTTTGTAGTCAAACGTTATTTTCTTGCCTTTTTTAATGGGTTCACGTGGTTCTCGGACGTTCTATGGCAGTGAATGATGAAATCCTCCAATTAGCAGGCTCCCAAGACAATGTCCATGACTGCCCATCAATTATGTTCCGGATGGTCCTTTCGCTCAACCCCTGATGTGCACTGTTGGCCGTAGTAGTCCACTTGAGTTTGGGAAGGCACGATCAGGCCTGTCCTCTTGCAAATGCACAGGGCTGGAGATCATATCGACCAAGATCTGGGTGCAGTTTCGGAAGGCTGAGGAAAAAAACCTTTTCAGGGCTAAGGCTAAGGACCAAACAACGCCACAAGGTTGGTTTGAGCGGAGGCGTTCTTGCGCAGTTTCACCCTGCTCGTCTGGATTGTGCTGGATCTTGCAAAATCTGTGGAAGACCGGTTCTTCCTTTCCATTCTTCACATCCAAGCTCTCCGCTGCGACACCTCTACCACCGTCCCGGACCAAACTGACCTGGCCAAGGAACATGAAAGACCTGAAGGAGTTCCAACATCCACCCTGCAGGGACAAGGTGTTCAACAATTGATCATGCGCCACAGTTGGGCAAAACCAAATCATTGAAATTTGAGTTGCGTAAACCAATGCAGTGCCAAGCCTCAACCGTTATATAGAGGTAAGCGGCTGCAAACTGTGTGGGTATACATATGCGTGGACAAGCATACGTATTTTAAAAAATATATGCTAGCCTTTTCTGGGATGCGTGATCAAACTCACGGCGCACTTCAACTAAGTATGCAATGAGTTGGAGTATGCAAATCCTACAGCCAGCATACACAAGGGCATTTGCATATGGAAGCAGGTTTGCATTGGATGCAAGGAGGTTGCTTTAGAAAGCGCGCGCCGGGAACGAAGTGACCAAGTGTAGAGATGCTGTAGGGGAAAAGTTGCCAGCTGTCATAGGGGTCCAACAGAGGAAGCAAATAAAAACAAAACAGGGACAGATAGGCTTCATAATTGACTGTACATTTTTGATCATTTTTGGGAACCTATATTTTGACCAAAGTTTCGACCTACATCCAGAGATCCAACGAAAAATGTTGAAATGACCGTGCTTATATAAAGTTCTTAATAAGGACGTGACAGTTCCCACAGATCCAGAGAACAGTGTTGAAATGAAAGTTTTTGCATCAAGCGTTTCAATCCAGAAGGGATCCCTCCCAGAGATGTTGAAATGAAAGGTTGTGCGTCAAGCGTTTTAATTGTGGACGTGATCATCCCCAGAGATCCAAAGAAAAACTTGTGAAATGAACGTTTCAAATAGAACTTTCTACATTCCCACAGGTCCAGAGAAAAGCTTTTTAAATGAAAGCATTTGTATATAAGTTCTTAATATCGGATGGTGACCCTAGCACTGCGTTATATTTTAGAACTCAATTAGATGTAAAGAAAGAATTTAAAGCGATTTCAATTCGAATTTCAATAGAAATCTATTAGCACTCAAGCGGAATCCACTTAGAATTTGGCTTGAAAACAACCAGTATTTCATTAGAATTCAATAAAAACATTTAGTCACAGTTTAAGCCCAGAATCCAATTAAAATTGACAAGTTTCAAGCAATGAGTATTCAGTTAGAATACAACCAGAATTCAGTTGGAAATTAAATAGAACTCAATGAGATTTCAATTGGAGATCAGGCAGAACAAAAATAGATGTCAATTATTAGAACTCAATTGGAATTTGCTTTGCACCCAATCAGAGTTTAATTAGGATTTAAATCGAATTCAGTAGAACTAAAATCGAACGAAAATAAACTGGAGTTGAATTAGAATCCATTCAGAACTTTTTTGGCAAGCAACTAGCATCTACATAATGAGAACATATTGGAATTATACTAAGCATTAGGTGAAACTTACGTTGAAATCATTTGAAGGTTGAAGATTTCACAGGACTCTTGGCAAGAAATCGTCAATCCAAACCCTTGGATTGAAGATTGAAGATTTCACAGGACAATCCAGGGATCTGGATTGCAATCTTGCATCCCAAGTCTTCCAGCTGTTCAGGCTTGAAAATCCCACGTCTCACTGTGTTTAAGTATAAGGTTTTGGAAGAGCGTCAAAGGTGGATCTCGGGGGGTACGATATACTATAATTCTTTATACATTAGTAGCAATAGGATAACTTATAACATTTTTGCAATACAGTACTGGTTGGGACCGGAACAAAGACTTATATAGTCACTTAGTCCTCAGCCTCATGTTGCAAAAATGTCTGTCAACGGCACACAGCCTCTGACTCAAACAAGCGGCAAGTCTGACTCAAATCAGCAATGACCCCAATGATCATTTCTGAGACATGTAACTAAAAAGACATTGACTTATCACTTATCATTGTTCGCCCAATTTACTTCTCTCCTCTTGCATGCCTTGCCCCGCCTTCAGTCTTCTGTCCCATGACCTCGTTGCTGAAAGCGCACATCCGCCCAAAGCTGAAGGTCTCGGCCCCAGCGTCAGCCGTGTCATCTTCTTTCGCCTCGTCTGCATTTACATTCTCTCCACCACCCGCGTTGTCGCCCGCGTTAGTCTTGGTCTCGTCCTTGTTCCGATCGTCCGTAGCAGACTTCTGAACGGCAGCCCAATCTTCCTGGACAGGTTCACGAAAGTCGCTCACTTTACTTGTCTGGCAAAAAGCTGACTCGTGAGTCTTCAAGTATCAAACACCCCACTTCAAGGCACCAAGTAAACAAGGACCTATGGCACTACCTATATAGATGATCAAGTCCAAATCAAGTCCATTGGACCCTCATGACTACCCTGGACCCCCAGGCAGCCCAGTGGAACCCACACGTCGGTTCCGTGCTGCACGGTGCCTTGATCACTCGAAGGCGCTCCCCATAGGTGTCGCCCACGTACCTCACCGACCACGTCGCCCACTCAGTCCACCACACCGACCATGTCCTTTCTACCGGATGCCACTGGATGCCACTGGGTTCTGGATGGGACATGATGGCACCTCATGGTTGAGCCATCTTTTTAGGAAGCCATGTTTCAATGACCAGCAGTTGTCCTTGTGTCACTCTTGAGTAGCCGTGTACCACTTTTCTCCACTCCCCGCTTCACCCGCTTGCGGCACTTGTAGCAGGAGCCGGTGTAGCTCAGCAACTTCCGCCAGGCAGCGGCGGTGCCCGGCGGCAGATTGGGCCTGGTCCATCCATTTTTGAACGGTCAAAAACGGTGAGGAAAAACATGGAAAAACGATACAGAACCGAACCATGGAAAAAAATGGCCTAGACAGAATTCGTGCCAGTTTGTAGGCTTTCAACATCTGCGCAAAAGTTCCCATGGTAATTCCCTTCTGTCACGTCGAGCCGCACATTCTGCACCATGAGCTCATTGAAAGCATCCAGTACTGCGTCCACTCGTTGCTCGGTGATTTCATTGTTCAAATGCCTCAAGAAATCGACATCGACGACCTTTCGCACATCAGTGCGCGGGAGGGGGTGCTTTTCGACCCATGTTCATGCCATATCATGCCACATATTGCAATATCATGCAATCATCGATGGTTGCGCCTCCTGAGACTTTGTGGCGTCCGATCTTCAATGCCAAGATGGCACAGTTCAGGAGAAAAACAACTCATCCGACGTACCCAGCCCATCCCCAGGAATCAATATCTTCGCATCCAAGGGGCTTGAAGGCCAAGGTTTCCACATAGATCTTCAGCTCGTTGGGGTCTTCAGCCTTCTCTAGGAGCAGGCGGAAGCAATTGAAAAAGCGCAGGGACACCACTGCGCGGGGCGTTGTGAAATTCTCCTGGCGACACAAGGCCGGTGCGGCCGGCTCTCGACAAAACAACACTTGAATGCGGTGGATTGGGAACACAGTATAACGTAGCAAATGTCCCCCTCATACTAGGTACATCTGGGCACCTCAATGTTCAAATGTCTTGAAACACACCGTTTTTTCATCATTATACCCAAGCATGCGACGTTAAAGCCTGCAGTCATTTGCCCAGTGCCATCTTTTTTTGGCTTCAACGGAAGCCAAGAAAACACAGAGAAGACCATGGCAACGAACACTCAAAATAGACTGCCCAAGTTGACTAAGTCATCACACCTCTCTGGGAACCTCAATGCTTTTGGCGGAGATCGGTCGCTTTTTCTGTGAAAGCTAGGCCCGCAATTGCACCCTGCGTCTTCATGTAGCCATGTCTGCACTCAATGAGGTTGCTTGGATGATTTTGAAAGGAAAAGCAACGTGTTGCTGAAGTTGGTTTATTGGTGTCTGGCAAATGTCAAATGGAACCAGTAGAAACCAGGTATTTGAAGGATTTGGAAGGTACGATTCACAACATCATCTTGAAAGTTGGTGAGCTTTCCCGCATATAATTACTCGATTATGCTCGCAGCTTATTATCTCCACCCTGTGCAGGGGTATGATCAATTCACCAGGTCAAAGTTCAAAACAAACTACATCATACACCAATATAATACCATTATAGTCCAATTACTGTCGATGATTAGCTCCCATGACTTTCAGGTTTCCATCATACCTGGCACCCTCATTACCCTTCCACCAGCAAACACATCGACCCATCCCATACTCCTTGATTGCCACCAGTGCGTGAATCTTCAAACCGTAGATCGCATCACCCATTGCCTCGCCAGACCAGGTCTTGACACAAGTACCAAGTGCCGCTGCACGGCAAAAGATCTGGAGCAATCCAAAGGGTTTCCAACTTCCTGTGGACAGAAGTACGAAAACAAAAAACACAATCACAATTGACGATATGTGTGTGTGTGTGTGCGCCTGTGAAAGCACGGCGTTATTATTAAGATGTTCTAAATCACAGACCTAGGTGAAACGCAAAGTAACAAAACTAATTGACGAACTTGATGATTTTTGGTGCCTGCACGAGGAACCAGCTTCAGGGTGCTGGGGACACGGATTGCCCCTGTGCTGGTGCACCCATGGTGCGCCCATCAACACCATTACACGGTAATAAGCTCACCTTAAACCTGTTCCCCCATGGCCATGGCCCTGAGCCAAAAACCCGTTGGAGATGCACCACCCGGGCCTCCGCGCTGTCCCCCACACGGCGCGATCGTTCCCGGTGCCTCGCGATCGTTCCCCAAAGCTGCCAAGACCATGTCAAAGGATTTGCGTAGAACTGTGGCTTCAGTCGACGACCTGGAGATTCGCTGCGCGTTGGCCGGAAATCCAAGGACAGGGGCCACCCTCCCAAGGCCCCGTCCCTAAAGTCGAAAGCCTTTGGGAGCCCCGTCGAGTACATGTCATAGGCTCCAGGGTTGGTCATGGAGCAGCACCCCTAAGGGGCCATGCGTTTTGAGAGGTCTTTAATGGTTTTGACATGAGCTGTCCTTGTCCTTTGGTTTGCGGCTCGGTGTAAGTTGGGTGGGGTGGCCTGGGGGTTGGGGGGATAATAACCATCGTTTCCTGCGCTACGCCAGTGCTATGTTTGCGTTAAGCACAATCCATTCACGCGCATGACGCCAGGCCTAGGTTCTGAGCTTCTGGGGTAACAGGAAGGAAGAATCAGGATTTCAGAATAATTACAACTTAGATTCGGTCGTCTCGGAGTCCGAGTCTTGCCTGAAAGTTCCAAACTAAGAAGTTACCGCGGCAGGAAATGGCTACACATATGATCTATTACATGTGTTCGGCAATTCAAGAAACACACCCTTTGGCCTGGGCAACACGTTGCATTCCAAAACCAAAGAATTCACGCCGGGACGACTGCTTCGTTCACAAGCTTCACAACAACTCGCCGCACGCCACAAACATGAGGTCCAAACCTCCGAGTTGAGTAAACATGCCGCAAGCGCATTCCTTCAACACGCCGTGTGCCTTTTTCCGGGAAAAATACATTTCCATGTGGAGTAGGATTCTGCAGGATTCTGTAGGTATGGGAGCAATGATGCCTGTTTCATTTCACGACACCTTTGAATTTCGAGATTCTTTCTTAAATTCGACGTAGCTGATACACACCCAACATGAGACACGAATTCCTCCGAAACTTAGGACCGCAAAAGCACTCTATCCAAAAGTGTTCAACACTGCAGCAAAAACACCTAAAATCGAACCTTCCGAGCAACCCTTACGGCACTTCCACCTAAAAGAAACAACCTATTCAGTCTATTCAATCCAAAAACATCCAAACACGTGGGAAAATTAGAATAAGATATCAACAAACGACAACTTCAACAAAACACTCCAACACACCGCCCCTTACAGGCGCTGCAACCTTGTTCATGGTTCCATGATGCCTGAGTCCCCCGACAAGGCCAGCTGATTCATCGTCTCGCCGAACCCCGCTGCCCCGTCACCGACTTGTTGCTTCCCTCGGCCAAACCAGGTCGGAACCCAGGATTCAAGTCGGTCCAAGTCTCCCAAGGTTTCTAGGGGAAGTCTAAAGCAATCTCTCTTCTCTGAGCATGATTAGCTTTCTTTTACCCAGAATTTTGGACATCACATGGTGAATCACATGTCACATGCACAAAGCGATGATGGCACGATGTGATAGGCGTTCCAATGGCTTGGAGCCCAAGTGCCCGAACCTTTGTTTGTTTACACCCTTGTAGCCCACGCTTCAACAAGATTCAAAAGGCATCAAAAGGCCCTCCTTTGCCTGTGCTCGCCCTATCTATCTGGCCTTCGGGATCAACGCCGGCTCCAAAATCCGAGTCCATGGCATCACTCAGTGCCTCGTCCACCACAGACATGGTCTCATCTTCCGCACCACCGGCGACCACCGTCTGCAAGACTTCCGTGGGTTCGCGGGAATCCTGCGACAAACCGAGGTGAGAATACGGAGCGGTCTCCGCGGTGAGGGGAGCTCTCGCAAGGCTGCGCAAGAAGCTTGCTACCCAAAGCACTCACAAACGACAAGGAGATGAGCCTGGTGAGTTCGTGTTCTGCCGTGCGAACGGGAGAAGGATGGAAGGCCAAGATCAGAGCATCCAAACATCTTAAAGCTTCTTGTTACTACTAGTAAGGCACCTGTTACTACTAGCGTGGCACTTGTTACTACTAGCGTGGCACTTGTTACTACTAGCTTCTTGTTACTACTAGTAAAGCACTGTTACTACTAGCGATGCACTTGTTTCAAAGAGCAGTCCGGTCCCGACTTGAACTCTGTCATACTCCGGAAGTCAAGTCCTGTGGGACTTCTTGGTCAACTGCGGGTGACTTCATCTCTCTGCACTTGAAAATCTGACGAAGCTGTCCCCACGGAACCCAGCACGCTTGGCACGATGAGATCAGAAAAGCTCTTTGAGTCTTCGAAAACGGCTGCGGTGCCCGGTGGTGCTATGTGAGGACTTGCCAGTAAAACTTCTGGCTCTTCTCTTTAGGCAACGCATGCTATACGCACAAGTGTCACTTGACGTTTGATGATTGCCGCACTGCACTTGCAAAGGCTGGCAAGAAACTGGTCGACAACCTGCCTTGAAGACATCAACGCAGATCTGATCAGCAACACCTCGGAATTTGTGACCCCACCCTGTGTGACCCGATCGCTGATCTTGATGATGCTAGGAACTCTTTCGTCTGTGATTTTCAGGAGGTCCCTTGTGAGGTTGGGGGCTCTAACAAGCCTCACGACCCTTTCTATCAGGAGTTCTTTCGAACCCTCTAGGACTCTGCGATTCCCCACTTGTCTGAGAAGGTCCACAAAACTTGGCTCTCATCCAGAGGTCCAGCTCGCGCTTGCAAGTCTTTTTCTCTGATCGAGTCATGAGGGCACCGTAGCTTTGAAATGTGGGCAGCGCTGGCAAAGGTGCTGTCTTGAAATGAAGCCTGCACTGGTGGCCACATCACTTGCAACACAAGTCTCCTTCGGTCCAAAATTCACGCGCAATGAAAATGCCCATGTATTGCCACACGACAGCCTCATGCAGTCTGCATGGCCGATTTATCTATTTAAATGTACCAAGCGCCAAGGCTAACTCCCTCCCAAGCCCTCGAACCAGACCCATGGTCCCGCCCGCAAGCCAAAGGCTGAGAGAGGGACACAGCCAGCACTTGGGATCGCCAGATGTCCCAGTTGATGGAAAACCACTTAGTGAGGTTCGACATCATGGTGTGAAGAGCAGATCTGAGGACTGTAAAGACTTCAGTAGAGACTTGGGACATCAGACAAAGTATGAGTACGGCACCTAAACGGGAGACTGTGCGCATGTTGAGGACCAGACACCTTGGGTGTCGAGGTCGCTGAAAGTCAAAGGCAACAAACTGGATGAAACACTTCAAACCTGGCATTAGGGGGTCCAAACCCAAGAAAACTCAAACAGTCAAACAATGTCAAACACCATCAAACACCCTAAACACCGAAACAACATGACAGTCACTACACAAAGATATGGTTGCTCTTTGTCTTGCGGACCCGTTGCCATATATTGTAACCCTCACCAGCCTTCTTGGAGGTGTTGTTTTGCGTGGGCACCCCGAAGAAAAACGGGCTGGGCTACTTTCCAAACGGAGGGCACTCAGGTAATTCGCAAAGCCTTTGAAAGATAGCACAGCGTAGCTGCAAACCTCCACTTTCTCACCCATGCTCAGGATCTTCATCTGGATGCGTTGCTCGGCTATCCTTGTTTGGCTTTGCTCCTCACCTGACGGCGGAGTCAACACGGCGGAGTGTTTCTCAACGCCGGGGGGCGCGAAAAAAGAAGCGAAAAGGGAGCTCAGCTGTAGCGTGGCAGCGAACTCACCCGCACCCCCGCGGAGAGTGAGTGCAACTCTCAGTGAATTATGGCGCATGCTAGGGCGGTTGACCATAGCTCTGCATCAAGGCTGGAAAGTTGACAACTCACCGGAGTCGGGAAAGCACATGAATGAATGACTGCTATTGACTGGTCACAGGTTTGTGAATCTAACCAATCCAATCACCTTTTCGCAGTCGTGTTTGCCCTCATCATTTGTTCTGGAGAATGCTTCGTCGAATCTCATGGAGCATGCTCAGAAACGACCCAAATACAAAGCAAAGAGTCGTAAACAAAAATCTATGCAAACCTTCCCACCTTCACCCACACCTTCCTTTGGGATCACTACACCGACCGCCCCGGCTGCAACCCATTAAATCACATCAAACAAAGCCATGGAGCCCGATCAATGGCTGCAACGAAACCACCTCGCATGGCCTCCAGTCCACCTTCAGAACGATGGCCTCCAACCTACTAGCTTCTTGTTAGCATCTCCTCTTCTACTGTTTTCAATTACGGTTTCGGGGATTGTTGACAGGGCTCCACGTGCCCAACAAAAAAACAGTGCATTTATTTATTTGCATGGCTCGTACTGGCGCACCATTCGGTCGGGCAGACCCGATTCTGCCCGACGACCCTTTTCTCACTTGTTGTCGCTGCTGTGGTGGCTGCTGCTCCTGGCGTCAAGGGAATCCTCCACAGATTGCTATTGAACGGTTTGGGCCACCCATCGAATGGGTGGCTCAAAAACTCAACATGACTCAACGCTTCAATGCAGATCTCTGACTCTTCTTGTGGCCTCCGAATGGTCCTGGTGCTCAAGGCTCATTTCAAGCACTGCCGCCGAGTGGCTGGTCATCGCTGCTCACGGTTCCCAAGGCACTTCCAGCTCCAGCTTTTCCTCGTTCCACAGAGCCGATCCACCGGAGGTTCAGTGGGCTGATGCTGAATTCAGGCGATGTCGTCCAGACGTCTGTATGAACCGGTTCGAATCTTGGGACATAGCGGGAATATTTAAAAGGTGAGACATGGCTTGAAAGCAAGCAACACCACTTGGAGGCCATGGCTAGTAGGTTGGAGGCCATCGCTATTTGTGATGAAGCCCAAGATTGAGCATCTCTTTGTCCTCCGAATTCGTCACTTCGATGTTTCTCAACCGAGATCGAGAGAGACAGAGAGAGAGAGAGAGAGAGAGCGAGCGAGCGCGCGACCAAGCGGCCCTTTCCAAGGTACTTCTGCAAGGACTTCTGGATCCTCGGTCTGCACTTCAGGGTGCTGCAAAATGAGCCCTGGCGGTCAAGCATGTCAAAGAAAAAAACCCTCATCGTTTGGATCCATTTCGGGAGCAAATCGGTGTTGAATCCGACAGTCGGAATGGATGATGTAATTGTGATGCTTTTCCACTTCCAGACTGGGGGTGAGCATGACAGCTCTCTTGGTCATGTGCTTTTCTCCGCCATGCATGACGCCTAATTAGGGATGAACAAAGTGTCTTGAACAACACATGTTGCGTGCTGTTGTTTCCGTCCGGTGGAACCCGCCATGCTCGTGATGTGGATGTTGGTTTCTATGCACATTGCAAAGCGCGAACCTTGCGATATACTACCATGCAATACCAACTTGTATCTGAGAGTTTCATGCGTCTCAACTGCAGGCTCAGTGACGTTCGTTGGACCACCCTGAGGCACCGCTTGGATCAATGCAAGAACTCTTGTAGCAAATATCTTTGGGGGGGGTGAACTCATAAGCCAAAAACAACAATGAAGCCCTCCCCCGTGAGGGTAATTTTGTCACAAAATGTCAAAGTGGGATAACCAACTCAGCAAAGGCAAAACGTAGATAGCACCAGCCCACATGAAGTCATCAAATTCAAGAGGCTCTTTCAAGAGTCTTTCATCATCTTGACCTGTCTCGTCAGACTAAGGGTTTCTGAACAAGGCCCGGGCTACCCAGACCGCCCTCCGGAAAGCATTCGATATAGCTGAAAAGCCATCTCCAGTCGTGTGATCCCTTCAACAAGCCAGCCTGGCTTCCAGCCACGGTCACCCAACAAGCGGCCTTTCACTCTCTCCGTGCAAAGGCGTACGAAAACCCATTGCGATCGGAAAAAGGGTCAGCAAGGGGCCACGTGGTTGTTGGAGGCACACGCCCCAACTTTTCAGGACATCTTGAGGTCTGTTCATCCTGAAAAATAATGAAAAATACCCCCACCGTCCGGCAGATCTCAGCGCTCGCTCCGCGCTCGCTCCGCGCTCGCTCCGCTTGGCGCGGCCCCGGGGGCGCTCGGCCCTGAGCGGCGCTCGTGTTAGCGTGGCCAAGACTCCTCTCGATGCTGTCCGCCTCACTGGCCAATTTCTCGGGCCAGGGCAAATGCGGATCCGTCTTCCCACCAAAGCGGATGATCTGGTCCTGCTGGCATGATCGATCGATCGATCGATCGATCTTTCGCACAAAAACACAGTGACACCGTGGAGTGGAGGCGTTCACATTTTTGTTGTTTCTTGTACATGTATATGTTATCGGCTTCGTTACCGGCCCACGTTTTGGGTTATTTCTGTTTCCATTCATCGGTTTCATGATATGTAATGATCGGTTTCATAACATTGTCATCGGTTTCACAACATGGTAATCGGTTTCATAACATTGTCTTTGATTAGTCGTGTGTTTAAAATGGGGTGGGGGGGGGTGGGGGGGTTGTGATGGAATGAGGACGTGGATGTCATGCTGAGAACATTGTCATCGATTTCACGATATGTAATCTGTTGATATCTGTTGCCCATTCCAAAAGCGAATGGAGCAAGCCTATGAGCGTTGTCGCCTCGCTGGTACACAGCAGATTGACAGATGTTGGTACCATTTGAAAAAGTTTTTGCCGACGCAGATGAAGACACGTCAGGGTGAAACCCTGAACAGGAAGATCTGGGAGAGAATCTTCCAATGGATCTATCGGCATAATTCCAGAGCATGAAACCGCTTGAAGCACTCGAAGGAGCAAAATGAGTGTATGGAACTGTTCGTCGTCCCTCGCATAATTTGCACTGTTTAAAAAGTGCCTAAAACGCAGGCGAGGTGCGACCTGCGATCACAAACGCACCGTTGCGAAAAGCCGTGTCACCAAAAACACGGTGGGAGATAGGGGGGAACTGGTGCCGAAAAAAGGGGTGGACGGAACGGGGCGTCAGGGTCCGGGTGACGGCTCTTTCCATAGCATGCTGAAGAGGTAAGTTGCTGTCCGATTGAATAGTTTGGTGGTGGGTGGGGCCTTGGGAAACGACCTCCTGTGCCTCGCTACGTGCTTAATTGGGGCCTATAAACATTTAAGTCTTTCCTGTGGCCACAGCGGCCATGGCTCTAGTATGTGGCGTCTTGTGCCAATGCGTAGGGCGTTAAGCGGCAAATTCACCACGTATCTTGCATCGACCCAGTAACTCCTTTGCGACCGGATGGGCCAAGGCCGGCTCGAAGTCCTTGATGCCTCAGGGATGGATAGTGAGGATTGGACAAATCTATGGTGTGGGTTGAAGTTGGCCCCTCTGGATTTCCTTCTTTAGCCTGTAGAAGGACACGCCAGTTCCTATAACATATTTTGTCCCTTGCTCATGTGAGCTCGGTCTTAGATGCAAAAATCGGTGCCCAGGCGTCAGTTGTAGGTGTTTCTCCTGTGTGTTGCAGCCTGTTGGTCTTGCAGTCACATCCCCATTTTCTCCATGTCTCAAAGGCTCAAAGGTTGAAACGAGAGAAAAAGGTTCTTCTCGAGATGCATTGACATATTCAGCAGTCCAACTCTAGCAAACAGTAAACATAAACAGTTCCCCAAAGAGCCAGCTCTCCATAAGAACCTTGTTTTCGGTGCGTTTCCCCCTATAGACAGCGCTCGCCTCCGGCCAAGCCGATGTCACCTTCCTCGAAGTCCACTTTGCTATCCAAGTTGAGGGAATTCATGAACCTCTGCCAGCGTGTCAATCGCACCGCCTGGAGCCAAAGACGCAGGCAGGCTGCTTCGACAGGGTGACGCCAAGGCATACCATCCAGCGCACCAAAGGATGGGAAAGGATCGGAAGGTTGGATCCTCGTGCATCACTCCCTTCCATCCCTTGTCTATAAAGGATTCTATCAGCATTGGTGGCTTTACCAAAGGAGGCCTGCCTATGTCCAACCTGGTTGGGTCTGTTTCGTCCTTTCAATAAGTATTTTTGTTGTCAGGTTGCATCTTTATGCTTGCTCTTTCTGAATTCTCTGATGCCCCTACACAAAACACCAAGTGTGGAGTGCAAGCCAGGGGTGTCCATCTGGCACAGGAACTCAGCGGTCTTGAAGCCACTTCAGGTGTTCAATGGGCAAGTTTGCGCCAACAAATGCTGGCATGGATCAATCATTAGAAATACTAAGTACATTTAAACATACAATAAAAATCAATAAAATACGACTTTGCATTTTGCAGTACAATCATCAAAAAAAAAGGAACATGCACGCAACATGTATATAAGGAAGTTGTCATTTGATGCGCATTGATACGGGTGGGATGGGAAGTTGGCGCCCGTGTCTTTTGGAGCAACCTCTTGTGGTTGCGGGATAGCCCTACCGACCTACGCTTCGCTGGCCTTCAAAAAAGTTGGTTCGGTGGGTTTTGCCGGTCGCAGTTCGAGGTCATTTGCATGCTCCAACAAATACAATACAATCCAACCAAAATAGCCAAATAAGAAAACGAACACATCAAAACAATATTCAATCAAAACTAAACTCAAACAAACAACTGACATAATTTGTTTTTCACAAAAATGCAACCGACGACAAAAGTACACCACGAACATACAACAATTTACAAAAAACGGGTTTGCGATACTAACTGTCTATATAATTGTTTTGGTGTTTTTTTCCGACAGCTTCTTCTGGGGTACTTGCCGATGTTGCGGCCAGATTGCCTGTGCTTTTGCTGTGCCACAGCACCAATGCTCAAATGTGAGAAAGACGTTGGTGGGCACTGGTTGGACTGTGGCCCTCATGTGAGTATGTTGTTTGGGAACCATTACTAGTTGGGACTTAGAACCGTATATATATATTATATATACAGAAAGGTGCAATTATTTCAGGACTTCTAATGTTTTCGTGTTTCTTAGCCTGTAGCTGGAACCGGGGGATTCAACGTTAGACCATTACCTCGCAACTCATTGAAGGTGATCAGCTCATATCAGGACATCACCCCCTCCAGGCCCTACCGACACTGCGATCCCTTAAATGAGAGAGAGAGAGAAAGAAAAAAAGAACAAAAAATACACGAGAGAACTCTTGACGAACTGTTTGGCGTCCTGACGAACTTCGGAGTCTTTGTTAAACGCGTCCTTGTGCAACGAACTCCCGCCAAATAAACCTCGGTTCGATGGTTCCATGGTCCATGGTGACTTCAACATGGAGAACACACGGGGCGGGCGTTCTGCGGCGTTCAACGGCCAAACAGCTTTCCACGCCCACCGAGGGCCTTAAACGTTTCGATGATGATCTCACCGCGAGCCAGCCTGGCGGTAAAAAACGTGACTTGGGCTCTCGATGCGTGAGCGTTGTGGCGGGGAGAGGCTGCGGAAAAAAAAAAAAAAACATGTCCTTCCATAACACCTTTTTGTTGGTGTTTGTGCATGTTGTTTGATAGTTTTTGTCTCCCATGGTCTCCTATGCGCTGGGCCGTTGTCCACACAATTGTTGCGCCTGGCGTGGCCTTTGATGTCTTCTGCCAGCGAAGTGTACACCCCACAGAATTGCCTCACATGATCTCACATGTGCAGGTCACAAGTTCCGGGAGAAGTGCAGGAATCCAAGGTGCCCTCCTGATGGCAGCCTCTTGCGGTAAGGTGGGCGGGGATTGGCTAACGGTTGTCATGATTTTTTCATGATGTCTTGGAGGAACCGGACTATTTAAGCCTGAGTCTTAGGCTTTCACCAGCTAAGGCTTTGATTGCTGTATTTTCCACCTGACTCTGAACGCCATCCGAAGAGGCTGCTGAAAAAGACCCTCTTCAGCGGCTGCTTCAGACCCATAGAGAGACCCACAGCATGTCACAGAAAGTGCGGTCGACATCGGTCAGGTGCTGGACGTGCTAAGGCCCAAGGGTGCAGTGCAGTAATAGATCATCCAATATAGATCTATATAATACTATATATATACATTTATATAGTACAAGATGGATGAGTACTGAGTCCCCGAAGCATTTCTCTGAAGCCTCAAACTGGAGGAAGGATGATTTCATCAATGAGTCTTACATCCCATCTCCGCGGCTTGCAGTGGAAGGAACGACACCAGGAGATTGAAAAAGAAGGTGTAGACCATCATCATGAAAAGGACGATCACCTCAGACCGGCTCTCCAGCTATTGCCTTGCACTTGCACTATATAGACAATGTATATCAATGTATATAATATTCTATCGAGAGTAGTCATGTTAGGGGAAAGAGAACCAAAAACAAGCCTTTTCTTCTTGTACGTCATATGTACTGATGATCCCACTTTTGCTAACAAAAAGAAAACAACTCATGGAAGAACGTGTGTGTCGCTTCAGGGGGGCATCCATGAACATCCATGAGCACCCCCAACCCCTCCCAACTCCCCAATCGCCGCAATCTCGAAACTCCCAATCCTTCCAAAAAGTCGAAGACATCTTGAGCAAAAAATAGCACAAAACATCTTGAGATACAAGGAGATCTAACAAGATCCAACAAAATCCAAGGAGCCCCTAGTAGCCTCTTGTTCCTACAGTAGCAGTACGGCCAGGAGCCCCGTTCGTAGCGTCCGACCACTTCGTAGCGATGCCCGTAATTGCTCCGTTCGTGGCGTCCTTGTTCCCAGTAGTATGGCCAGGAGCCTATAGTAGCGGCCTTGCTCCTAGTAGCGTTGCCAGGAGCCTATAGTAGCGTCCTTGTTCCTAGCATGATCGCATCACGACCCCCACGAATCCCCTTTAAGCCTTCGTCCCAGGTGCCACGATCAGCAAGGGGCTCTCGGCCGCGACGGTCTGAATCGGTGCCTGGAACGTGTGTTCGATGCACTGCCGCTCGAACATCGTCTCTTGGGAAGGACATGTGGATATCTACCGTCCTCACCAGCCAACACTCTTTTCGAAACAACTCTCTTGGGAAGAGAAGGATGTTAGAGTTCTTTCGGCTGGAAGACGGTGGAGCATGGTGGTTAAGTGGCGTTCAGATCCAAGCAGCTAGGTCCATTGCTCCAAAGGACATGCGGATGAAGGTGCTGATCGACGATCCGACATTTGACCATTCCTCAGTTTGAGCTTCAGGTCTTGATCCTCACCAGGTGCATGCAGCATGCACAAAGCTACGGCCAGGCATGGTGCATGAAAATGGACTGTCCAATTCTGGCGTGCAATGATGTGCATGCATGCAAATCCGAGTGCACAAAGTCTCAGAGTGACAGCACATATCATGACATGCTGTGACATGCACCCAGCTGCACTTGCAACCCTGCTTGCTGACAAAGCTTCTGTGTTTGAAATTGCCTGAACCTGGCACGATATGTCACATCAATTCTAGCCTTGCACTGGACCATCCTGATTATATATTAAATACATTTATACTTACATTTATATACCAGTAGGTTTTTGCCAGTATCTAAACATAATTAGGCCATTTGGGAGTATTGTACGACATGATTTTTCCTTCATGTCATTCGCACGAGCATGCCAAGCGTAATCACCAGGGTGAGTCTGTCCCACTACTTTGGATCAGCATTTCTTCAGCATGACTGGTGCCTCACGCGTCATGCCGCTGACCGCAAAGGAGAAGGTCAAGATCGTCAGCAAGACCACGCCGAAGCAAAGCAGCACCTGTCGAAGGCATGGCTTCAGCAGCGATCTACCACTATGCAGGTCAAACGTGGAAACCCACTTGGCAAAAGAAAGTTGATGGCATATGCTCAAGGATATTCAGCCCACAATTGAATTGCCAGGAGGAACCTTCTGAATTCAACATGAGAACAACACAAGAACATAATGACAACTGCTCAACTTGCAACTCCCTGATAGGCAATGTGCACTTGCAAGTATGCAGCATTGCCTTTGCAAGGCTGTCCCCACAAGTCCAGCATGTTCTAGCTGTTCATTGGGCTGCTTGCATCGTAGTTTGATGAAATCTGATATGGCCTGAAGGGTGCCACTTACAAATCTCCGAACAGGGCCCCCCTTACGTGCCAGGCTAGGCAGGACCTCAGTGGGCCGAATAAAAAACACTGTGTTTCTTCTCTGTTGTTTTTTGGCCCGGGGGGTAAGGCCGCTAAGAGGAAGAGATAGCTAGTGAGCTAGGACAGCTAGGACACAGGATAGAGGGCTCAGAGGAGCTTCCTTCCTTGAAGATGCGCTCGCACTGATGACTTGGCTCCTAGATTTTTGAGGAAACCTAACGTGTTTCCAATGATGTTTCCAATTAAACTGAGCTGTTTGTCTTTAGTTCCTGGCTCCTCATCGTTATGAATGTATGGATTGTGGTGTCCTTCCGACGTTCCAACCGTCGTGGCGCCGAGTTGTGCTGTGCCTGTTCGATGGCATGGAGGCACAAGACGCGGTACTCGGAGATCCGAACGGAGATACTGCCGACCTCCACCATCAAAATCACATACCTCAATGGCAGTACCTCTTAATTGGTTTCGCTCTGTTTTACAGGTAGGGCTCCACAGAGATTCAAGGAAAGCAATGGAAAACATGTTGAACATGCATATTGTAACAGTTTGGAAGGGTGGTGATTCTGGAAGTTTCTGGATGTTCATTCATGTCATGCTGCTCGAGGTAGGGCGGATGGCTCTGAGTGTCTCCCTTCAAGATCTGAGTGAAGACCCTGCCCTATTGACCCTTCATGTGGCCTGTTCAAAGCGGACATGGAATGAGGGCCCATGAAGCAACCTCCTTGTCGGAGGTGTGAAAATTCACGAACATATGGATCCAGAATGAACCTAACTGGTCTGCAACGTCGAAACGTACAATGCTATACAGGCGCGATGCATCAACGCGATTCTTCATCTGATTCATCTGGGCGGTCAACCTGTGTTGTTTCAGATGGCCGTCTTTTCTTCCTTCAGTCAACTACTGCTGGCCCAGCGGCAAGAAAACACCGATGATCACAAAGATCTCATAGAGGAGGCCTCAAGTGATGATAAACACGAATGAAGGAGGATAGAATTGAAAAAAAAACTGTTGCTGTAGATTGAACTTGTTTGTTCTTTGTATTGTTCTCTTTGCGCATTGTTTTTTTTCATAGGTTTGTCCCTCTTACCATGCTCACTCGATGGGAAACCCCTGCTGGCCACCTTCCACCTTCATCCACTCACGTTTCACCTAGAGCCTTACAGCAACTTGCAACCCTTAGAAGGCAGCTCATCATCTTATGCTAAGGTGTCTTCCGTCCTTTGATTTGTCACGTGTCAAGTCTTCGCTTGACTAAGACAGGCCTATAGGTTTTTGGCCGTCGGGGAACAACATCATACTTTCGACCTTTTTGAATTACACAACAATGACCGGCGCAAGAAACTAACCTGAAAGTGGAAAGCACTGGAATGGTTTTGGGCAAACAGTACCCTAAGAAACTTCCGGTGTTCCTCTGACTGGCCGCTGGCCCTTTTAAGGGTCTGATGCGTGGAGATAGTTGGAGCTCTTGAGCAAACAACGGAGACCAATCACTGAACGGTTACAAGGGAGTTACAATTTTCCTCCAGGACAATCCAACATCACAAAACACCACCTTCGTCGTCTTGAGGTAATATGTGGTGGCTGAAGCCCTGTTTCCACACCCCTTGCAGGCTTGGAATCACAGGAAACCAGCTCTGAAAAACCCAACAGCCCTGTTCAGGGCTTCCGAGTAGCTCATCGTGTCGGTCCATTTGTCGCAGCGGAATTCGATCACGGCCTGCGAAGGCGCCGGTCGAGCCTGAAAACGCCTGTTTTCCGTGCTGCGCGGGCGTCGGAGCGCTAGTCCTAGCGGTCGAAGATGCGAAACTGTCCTTAGGGAGCTGAAAGTGTTCTGTTCACAGGGTTGCTGGCACATGAGTGAACCGTTCTGAAGTCTTTACAGAATGCCTAGCACGTTCAAGTGCAAGAATGGGTGTTTTCTGGGGAAAGCGGTCTTGCAAGATCTTGCTCTACAATTTGACAATTCCACTTGGCTGGAACATGTCCCTTCACTCACCCGTAGAGGTGCACAACACCAGTTTCGTAAATGTTTATCTCTATCCGTGTGAAACCCTTACCTTGAAATCCAAGCAAATCATATCAAATCCTTGTGTCTGTTGGGGGGGGCTTTCATCCAACCCTCGCAACTCATTTAGAAACAACATTGTCCACCCAAAAGAAGCACCCAACTGGTGGTCGCAGGTCACGGAATTTCGGCCTCTGAATGTCCAAGGCAATGGAACATCGGTTCCACCTAAGCCGGCCGTGGTCTGCTGCGGTGTTTGGGGTTCACAGGCCTCCTGAAGGAATTCGGGTTCCACAAGGATGAAAAACCACACCTGCGAAGGGTTCTCCTTCAAGAAAGGCAGCCTCATCATCACTGTCACCTTCATCAACACCAATGTCATTGTCATCATCATCGTCATCACGTCACCATCACTGTCATCATCGTCATTGTCACGGGTCATCATCATCAATTGCATAAGTGCAGGGGCAACACCTGGTATATGACTCCTACACAGGTACAGGTGTTTGGATACAGGTCTTGGGACACAGGTGTGGGGGTATAGGTGATATAAGAGTTGGGATACAGGTGGTGCAGGTGTTGAGATACAGGCGGCACAGGTGTTAAGATATAGGTGAACACGCCGAACACGCCGACAAAATTCACCTACACAACTACAACTTCGAAATTTTTAAAAATCTAGAGGCGACCTCAAATCTGGCCACTTGGCAGTACAAGTGCAATAAGGTAAGCAGCTTCTGGGAGCTGTGTCTTCAGAGTTCGTTACTTGGTCGCACAAGTGCACCACAGGAAGCAGCTTGTCGGAGCTGTGATTTGAGAACTAGTCTGTGGCACGCGATGTCGGCGTGTCGCTGGCGAACGGGATGATTGGCGGCGCCCACCATTTTTGGCGTTACATTGAATCAAATCTGTGGCGCACAGTGGCGAAATGACGTCTGTGATGTCGCTGTGCCATGCGGTTTTGCGCGGCCTCGGTGGAAAGTGCGCTTGCGTGAGTCCGTGCCATTGGGGGAATGAACACATGCTGGTGTAAATTTGGCGTGACGCTGGGGAGCGGGATGATTGGTGGTGCCCACGAGGCTTGGTATTGGCACCGTTGTGATCATCATGAATCATGACTATTATTATTGCCACCACCACCACCACCACCATCAACATCATAATCATCATAATCATCATTATCAACATCATCTTCAATATTTATCCTCATCGTTGCCTTCTGTCATCTCCTGCTGTGCTTTGGGGCCACCCTGTCGTCTAGTTGGTGGGGGTTAGGTCACAATTCCCTCGAACATCTATATCTTATATATCTTCACCAATTCACCGTGGTCACCAACTCACTCTGGAGCATTCTCTTCCGGGCAGGGGTGACTCCTTAGAGCTGTCCTGGGAGTCCTGGGGCACCCCAACAGTGGCCATCGCCAGAAGGTCGCACATCAAGCAAAAGCTCAGCAAATCAGACCTAGGAAACGAGCGCAGCAAACGGGAATGCAGGTGAGTGGATCGGAATGGATGGCATCCGCAGGATCGGCAGTGTTTCTTCTTTTAGGTGTCGAGTGAAGCTTGAGGCATCTACCCAACGGCGATGCCTTTTCTGGAGGAACGGGGAGGTATTTGGTAGTCGGTCAAGACTCGGGAATGACCCTACTGTCTTTACTCTCTCCATGGTCCATGTACGCCCCCAAAATGTATCTAGCAAGGTTCGAGACTTAGGTCTTGACATGGCAACGATTTTAACATCAAAGGTCAAGGGTCACGTGAAATCTGCGTTTACCTAAATAAGTTCAATTACAGTAGCAGTAGCAGTAATATAGCCATCCTGCCGGCATCTGTCCAAATGTTGGAACTTTTGCTCTGCATGGCTACCTCCAAACAAAAACACAAGGCACTCCTGCCACCAACACAAGAATAGGCATTCTGTGGGCTTGACTTAAAACTTGCAATAGGTGCTAGCCATTAACTAAGCTCGTTTTAGGTTGTATGAGCTTGAGCTACTCTAGCCTTGGAATGACACTTGTTCATGAGGGATATCAGTACAGGTCCCCCTCCACACGATTGGAAGTATATAATTCCAATACATGAGACATGCTTGAACCAGGCCAACCCCCTTATTATATACGTTTTGATCTTGTGGCCCAGAAGAGGGGTGCCCGGCGGGCATGACTCCTTCCTCCATTAGGTGTGGGTGTAGCCAAGTGCCAGATTTCATTCCCCAAAAGCCTCTGACAATCTGCCTCACGTACAATCACTACTCTGCCACCAGAGTAGAAAAAATGACTCTTCATATCTCTTCACGACAGTCTGCTGGCCCCCGAAAGCATCTTCAGCAGTTCGCATCGTAAAGGAACCTCTAAAGGCACCATGCCAATCCGCCTCTCCAATGCCAATCCGCTACTAAGAGCGCGTAACAAAGGCAAAGGAACGATCTGAAGAGGTAGGAGGGGAACTTGAAACAAGCGAGCTTGGTCACAGCCTCAGTGGGAGACCAAGAAAAAGATTCAACATGAGCCAAGGATTGAAGCGGATCTTAGAGGATGTGCATGGGTCCATCCATATGTGATATGTGGTAATTATATGTTATGGGATTCCTGAAGGTCGTTTGAGAGTTCGGATTTTTTGTTCGGGCTACCCCCCAAACCACACCCTAGCTCACCTCGCTTGGTTCCTCTCCAGACTGCGGAGCACACGGGTTCCTTCCCGAGTGCAGTGGAGTAGTGGCTCGCCCCACCTAGAGTTGTCCATTTTCTCTTTCAGGTAGTGCTTGACTCATGGTAACTCATGGCTTTCGGCTGATCCGAAAAGGACCTGATTTGCACAACACCTTATCATCCTCTTATCTTGTCATACCTGATCATAGAAAAAATAACGCCGTGGAACCTTTGTGCCATCGATGCCTGCTTCTTATTGTTTCTTTTCGGGCTTACAAGGTCCTGGACTCATTCACTTGTTACCCAGCTGGGTAGAGAATTCCGAAAGCTTTGAGATGTTGGTCATACAACGGGGAGGTGAACCGTTGATCACAACACTTCTGGGCCGTCCCATGACGAACAAACAAAATGGACAGTGAACATCTGTAATTACTTGTTCTCAGCAGTTCCCCCTTTGACGGTTTGACGGGACGGTTCTTGAAATCCACAACATTCAACAAACAAGCCTGTCTTCTAGCCCGGTGGTACGCAATTGCTCCAGCTTCACCAATGGCTGCCCCACTTACAGCTCCCTATACGCGTGAGACATAAGAAAGGAATTCTTTTGTTCGGGATGGTTGTCCCTCTCTTGTCTTGGGCGTCCGCAAACACAGAGCTCTACGCATCTTTCACTCTAACTTGATGAAGTGCAACCAACACAGCGCCTCCGTGTTGCCAAGCTTCTCCATGGCGGTAGCCCTTGTAGAACTGGCAGCAGTGCCAATAGAGCAATCGGCCGAAGCCAATGGTATAGACCAGAAATCGGAAACCACCAATGACCTTCGACATCCTCAGCTAGGCCAGCCCGGCCGCCGGCTCAAGTTGTACTTGCTATGATGCTGAGAGCTCGTGAGCATGCTCCGGCACCAGTAATAGTGATGATGCTGTGACAGCCGGCAGGGACCAATGATGACTAAAGCCATAATATTGGATACAACCTGATAGAACCGGCAATTTGTGTGGTCAATCTTTGGCCACTTTGGTCATCGTTTCTTGAGGAAGCTGAAGCACCGCCAGGTAATGAGTCATTTTGATACGTTTACACAAGCTCAAGCGAACAGGCATCTCCAAGCTTCTGACACTCCAAACTTGAAGCTTCGATGTGATCTTTCCTGGCATCTCTCCTTTGAATCCACATGATTCCACCTATGAAGCGTCAAGCCTTCCTTAAGCAGCTTGACAGATTGATCCCCCAAAACCGCACGGCCGCGGTTTGAGCGGGCACCATTTTTTGCCGCCCGGCTTCGTGGGGTCAACGATCCAGTCAGGTTGGTTCAACAAGCCTGGCGGAGTGGGCCAAAACAGCGGAGATGCACTTAGGGCTTGGGAAGAGGTTGGATGGATAAATGGAACATGATGAATCACTTAGTGGAGAGATGACCCTTCAAAGAAAACACATACATAACTTAATATATGTATATAAATCCCAACGATCTAATTAAATCATGCTGGCTATCTGGGCACCACATATGGCCATGTCAATGTCTTCCTTAATTTTAAATTGAATGCTAAAAACTATGCGGTCATTGTATGTCCTTGTATGTCGATGTGTTGTGCCACATCCAGTTTGCCAGGCCACATTCGGCCAAGACAAAGATCACGCAGTTGAACATCGTTAACACCCGGTCCATCAAGAAGAAGCGCTTGGCCTGACGATGGCGCTGGGTCCAAACCCCGCCGGTTCGTCGCTGTTCCGTCGGAGCAAAAGAAGGAACAGGCCCAAAGCCCACGGAAATGGCCACCATTCATTTCCCTTTATGGCCACGATCCCTATGTCCATACTTGACATGTAAAAACTCATCATGTAACCTTCTAAAAACCTTTCAAACCACCCCCAAAAGATGTACTAAACCCATCTGACCCGTCTTCGCAAAGAACGCTGGACAACCAAAACGATCATTCCGTCTTCGCCCACCGCTCGCCCGCGACTCCGCTGAGTCCGGCGGACTCGTCCGGAGTGGACTCGGGGACTCCGTGACTGATCGCAGGAGTGACCGTTGGTTGGAGGCCATTGCTACTAGGGTGGAGGTATTAGGGTGGAGGTGGGTCAAGGCACTGATTCTGGTCAAGTACGTCTGTTGATTTTTGGACTTGATACTGATGCACTTGATAGGTTCAACTCGAGATAAAGATAAACATGCGCACCATTACACACATAATTGTCAACAATGAAATGTAAATTGTTATTTCAACAAATCGGATATGTTCCCCAACTGAACGTTTTGTTTTAATGGAATCGGTCTTGGGGGAATCTGTTGGTGATTTGGAGGTGCTTCTCAGCCAAAGCACCAACTTCTCCCAAAGCAAGTCCAAGGAAAAGGTCAAGATCCTGAGCGCGTACGGTGACCGCAGATGTTCGAGGGTCGTGACATTTTTCACTGATTCGAGTCAAACTATGCCTATGCACGGCACATCTAACTTAGACGTTTCTTGAAATTGAAATACATTTGAAGCAGGTCCTGCATGCTAGCAGCCTAGAGTTTGGCACAAGAGCGCAGGCTCTTTCCCATAAATACAGTAGCACCATTGTAGGACCCCGTGATAGCTAGTCAATCATATGCACCCAAACAGCAAATTCAATTCTTCGCGTTATGAAGGAATTGCCAGTTCCGGAAGGAGAGCTCTAGTTTGCCAAAAAGGGTGGTGCTACGTCATCCATTCTGTAGTCTATATATATATATTATAGTCTATATATATATATTATATATATAGTCTATATATTATATATATAGTCTATATAT